AAAAGTAATCAAGCCAGGACAACTGAAACCTAGGGGGCTACTATTTTTCAAGTCAGCTATTAAGCATTTTTGTCCATTACAATGAAGTCTACACTTGTCAGTTGTAGTATTTTCTGTGCAAAAAAAAATCATCTATTTTTAGAACCACCAAAGAGTTTCTTGTTGCAAGCTCCTAAGATATACCCCAGTATTCCTCCGCACACGTTAGGGACAGTTACACAAGGAAGAATTTGAATTTGTCCTATACTTTAGTGAGGTTTGGTGATCTGCTCACCAAGACCACCAGATCTTTAGTTCAAATTTTTATCCCCTAAGGGTTGAATCCAACAGGAAACTATTATACTCCTTTCACTGTCACGAATGACAGCAGTCTGGAAGGGGTTAAATGGGGGGGGTGCGCATCTGTGTGCGTGTGTGTGTTCCACAAGATATAACATCACTGGGGTCACTTCCACCTCTATTCCCAACTGCATAAAAACATTAACTAATGCTCCATGCCCCAGGATAGAGCTGACCTCTAGGCTGCCATTCAATCCTGAAGGGATTTCTTCACTCCTTCCCCACCATCACTTTCACTTCTTCCCCCCACTGCACTGCTGTCTACCCAATTTCTCCCTTTGCACTGTACTTCTGGAAAACCACTCCGGGCCAGAGCTTTGAGTCTCTTAGAGATGACGTTGAAGAGATCAGACCCGACATACAAATGGAAGAGGAAGGAAAAGGGAGCTTGCAGCCACCCACAGCTAAAGACTCAGACAACCATGAGTCCCTGTAAGGGAGACAGGATTGGTTTCAATGCAAGTCACCCAAGGGAAAGCCTCCTATTTCCTGCAAAGGGAGTAGGGAAGAAGGGCACTTCAAGCTCCGCATTAGTGCTCCAGGCTATAGATGTGTTGTTGAGAAAAGCAGCAGTCGGGGAAAAAGGGAGATAAACAGAGGAGTCACCGATTGGTTTGTTCCCCTGGCAAAACTGCAGAGCTTCCTGGTGCTGAAAAAAAAAATGCCATGTGTATTTGCATGCATGTTCAAAAGGTAAATGCAGTTCTGGCACACCATATCTGACACTGACCACAGCATAAAAAGTCATGCCGCTCACAAACTGAAATAATACCGAGTGCTCTGGCATGAAAGTTTAGTAATCACAATCTTCCCCTTAAGTCTATGCCACTGACCTGGACCTAGATCAAGGGTGGCCAGCCTATGGCATATGCAGCCTCTGTGTGGGGCATGTGGCAGACTGAGGAGGGGACACACAGCCCAGGGGCAAATAGGTCAGGGAGCACAAAGAACAGCATCAGATCAGGACAGGGAGCAGAAAGCAGAGGAGCAGACTGAGTAGGGGATTAGACTCAGAGGTTAATGGTGGGGGCTAATTTGTGTCCCTGGTGGGGGCTAACTTGTGCTACCCCTGCCAAAAAGGCTGACCCACACTGATCTAGATAATGATGCTATTACTCTAAGTCAAGTCACTGACGTAATAAATCACTGGAGACTGAAAACTACTATGTAGAACTTCTGTCTGACCTCTATGTAGCAACATGGGGCAAAACTTGCGCCTTATAACAAAGGATAGGAAACCCTCACAGCAAGTGCCAGCAATTAAAATGTGCTTCCTGGGAGTAACCTCATGAATCAGCAGTTAGTTTATTCAACATATTTCAGTTTCCCTATTATCAAAATATGAACAAAAGTGAGTACTACAATACAACAGTGAAGAGCAAGATATGAGGAAATGAGCAGAAGAGGCAACTCGGGGAGCAGCAGTTCTTGAACTCCTTGACCTAACTAGGAGCAGTGTGTTACCCTAGAAGTAGGCCCAGGCCAGATGCCCAGCTGTATAGTGTGCAGCAGCCTATCTATAAGATTCAATGCTCAGAACATGAACCCCAGGCTCTAACACCATCCATTTGCACTCCAGAGTGTGAAAAAACAAAGCTTTAACCTGGGCTCCCTTATGGCACTGAGCACTTCAGGCTCCTACCGGTCAGAAGGGTTGGAGACGACTGAATGCAGTGCCCCACTCCCCCCTCCTTTACACCAGCTTACTCAAAGGATAGAAATTTTAAAAAACTTACAATGCTGCAATTGCTAATGAAGTATGAGCCAGAACAAGCCATGGTTTCATCGGATGTTTATCTCATCCACCACATGCTGTCCAAGCTGTGCAATGACTGAAACAGTTCTCCAGAATCAGCAGTGGGCAATTCAGCAGTTAAAGATTAAAATATACCCCAAAGAAAGTGCAAGTGAGGTGAATGTGCAACTTTACTCTGGCATCTCCTAACCAGAGATAACACTCCACTTGATACCAGCTGCACAAGCTTTGTGCAGCACCAAAGCTTGTTTTAAGATGAAACTCCCAAGGTTTTGTTAAAAGAAAAGACAGAGATTTTCATAACAGATGACTATTTGCAGATTCTTTAAAGATTACGAAGGCAAAAGTTGTGTACTCAAAAAGCCAAAGTTTCCCATAGATTCTGCAGAATTTATCTGAAGCATAGATACTGCAAGGTCTTGTATGTCTGCAGGTCTGCTGTACAGAGGTGCACCAACACAGATTTTTTTGGCTGATATCGATAACTGATTTTTAAGGAGGCATATCAGCCAATACCAATCCAATTTCCGATATGCAGCCCGGCTGCTTGAAGAGCAGTGTCTGGCTGGTAAGTCTGTGGTCGTGGAAGGGGAGGTGGAAGGGAAGGGCAGAAAGAGGCCCCTGTGGTGAGGAAGGGAGAAGGGCAAGGGCTGGGGCAGGTGCTGCCCAGACGGGGCCAAACGAGGCACATGACGGAGCTGCAGCTCATATAGTGGGGTGCAGCCTCCGCTGTTGCACACACCCCAGGAGGGCATGGGGGGGATGCATGCCCCCCAAATCTGTGCTGGGAGAGGCTGCTGCTGCTGCGGGCTGGGACTGGCACCAGGCTCTTCCCAGCTGGGCCGTGTTGTGCTTGGAGCAGGCAGTGGCAGCACTGGGAGCAGGATTATGGAGGGACAGGAGGCAGCAGCCACCCCAAAATTCGCCGTAGACCCCCCGCTTTCCCTCCCAGTGCCGCCGTCGTCACCTGCCCCAAGCACAGCCCAGCCCAGCCTCCACTGGGAAGAGCCCGGCACCAGTCCCAACCCACAGCAGCAGCCACCCCATCCCACACAGATCTGGGGGGCATTCATCCCCATGCCCTCCCAGGGTGCGAACAGAAGCAGGAGCCACCCCCCAGATGAGCCACAGCTCTGTCACGCGCTCTGGCCGGCCAGGCTGGGCAGCACCCCAGCCCAGCCCCACTCCCTCTGTCACTGCGGGGGCCTCGATCTGCCCCCACGCCCCTTCCCCTCCCCCTCCCCATCCACCACAACAGACCTACCAGCTGGACGCAGCTCTCTAAACTGCTGGGCTGTGCTCCTGGCCTCGTGCATGTTGTGGCTGTGCACATGAATGGGGCATTTATCAGCCACATTATCGGTTGCATCAGGCAAAAAATGCCGATTTCTGATATAGTCAATTTTCTTTAAAGCAGTGCCAATCCAATATCGGACCAATGTATCAGTGCACCTCTAAGTCTAACCCCCTGCTCAAAGCAGGACAGCCCCAACTACATCATCCTAGCCTGGCTTTGTCTAACCAGGTCTTAAAAGCCTCCAAGGATAGAGGTTCCACAACCTCTCTGGGTAGCCTGTTCCAGTACTTTACTACCCTCCTCGTGAGAAAGTTTTTCCTAATATCCTAAACATTCCTTGCTCCAACTTGAGACCATTGCTCCTTGTTCTGTCATTTGCCACCACTGAGTACAGTCCAGCTCCATCCTCTTTGGAATCATCCTTCAGGTAGTTGAAGGCTGCTATCAAATCCCCTCTCAATCTTCTCTTCTCCAGACTAAATAAACCCAGGTCCCTCACCCTCTCCTCATAAATCATGTGCCCCAGCCCCCAAACCATTTTGGTTGCCCTCCACTGGACTCTCTTCAATTTGACCACATCTTTTCTGTAGTGGGACGCCCAAAACTGGACACAGTACTCCAGGTCTGGCCTCACCAGTGCCAAATAGAGGGGAATAAACTCTTTCCTTGATCTGCTGGCAATGCTCCTACTACTGTAGCCCAGTATGCTGTTAGCCTTCTTCACAACAAGGGCACACAGTTGGCGCATATTCAGCTTGTTGTCCACTGTAACCCCCAGGTCCTTTTCTACAGAGCTGCTACTTAGCCAGTCGGTCCTAGTCAGTTGATCCCAGTTGCTGGAACTGTTCTATCCTACAGCAGGACTTTGCACTTTTCCTTATTGAACCCCACGAGATTTCTTCTGGGCCAATCCTCCAATTTGTCTTGGTCTCTCTGAATTCTCACCCTACCTTTCAGTGTATCTACTACTCCCTGCAGCTTGGTGTCATCTGCAAACTTCCTGAGGGTGTACTCCATCCCATCTGCCAGGTTCTTGATGAAGATGTGGAACAAAACCAGCCCCAGGACAGACCCCTGGGGCACTCTACTTGACATGAATGCTGCGTGCCCCAGGAGGCTGGGTGGGGGGCACAGTGAGCTCCTGCGGAGAGCGGGACAAAGCAGCGGCGATGGCGAGGGGGGATGTGACAAGCGGCTACCGCCCACAGGCACCACCGGCAATGTCGTTAGCGCCTTTTTGCAGAGGGTGCACTGCCAAGCTCAGGGGGTGCACATGCACTCGCATGCACCCCCTATGCGTCGCCAATGCTACTTGGTACCGGCTGCCAGCTAGACATTCTGAAGAGCAAAGTCCATCTAAACTTTTAAGTCTCATCTACACTAAGAAGGTTCTTTGCTTTTAACCATTTGGTAGCTAATACATGATAACATCCTAACATGAACAGGTCATTTGTAGTGTTCACACACATAATCAAGCTAGGGTAAACAATCCTACCTTGAGCAAGGCAATTGGTATTTTACCACACCTATTTCCTACCATGGACATATTATCACTGTATGTTCCATCTGTTGTGAGTCTCATGTTCTTTAAAGGCTTCAGTAACTTACCCCAAACATTTGTCGAAGGTCAGGATCTCGGAAGCGGAAGGGAATGTTAGACACATGAAGTCGTTTTGGAGTGGACTTGCTCTCGGTATTCTCACTGCTCTGTGTCTGTGACTGCTGTCCATCTGTCTGTGCCCCTCCCTCTGTCTGCTGAAATCAGAAAGACAAAGTAAGTAAGAAGAAATCTCTCAAATTCCTTTCATGTTTTTGCCTATCTTTTCCTAGGTATTTATACTGCACTTATGACCATGGTATCTGAGAATTTCACAGATTTGATAAAGCTAACAAAGTTTCACAGTGCCTCTTTTGTTCTCCCCCTCCTATCCATGAGTAAGAGGATCATAATCTTCTTCCTCTCCCTCACCATTTCTAGAATAGGTTCCTCCTCCTTTACTCTTTCTTTTTTTAAATTCTCTCTCCTTTTCCCCTTTTTTCCTCTCTCTTTGGCCACTCCTGGGGAAAGGCTATGATAAAGAGGTGAGCCTTATGTCCTGAAGCTGTCAAGTAGTAAATTGCAGCTCTGAGCCCTTGGGGACAGGTATTCAGACAATACTCAAAATCCTACAACTAAAGTGCAACTTCTCAGCCAGCCAATTCCAGCACTGCATCCCCAGGCTAAAGAGCATCAGCTCTGCCCTGCTCTTTCCAGATTACTGCCACATCTAAACAGCACCCATACAAAAAAGTACAACCTATGGGCAAAAGGTCTATGGGTCTTTTATGGCTAATTTATTTTAGTTAATTTTAAAGTCTGTTTTGAAAAAAGAAACAAATGCTGCCATTTTTGGGCACAGCTGAAGTATGTGTGTGCATGTCCCCCTCCCCTATTTTGCATCATAAACTATGTTGAGGCACAAATGAAGATGTGTTGGCACAAAGCTTTAACTCTGCAACTGAAGTATCCAGACTTATTTAATCTCTTCCAGAAAATTTCCAAAAGCCTTATCATGACTATTATCCTCAGCCTGGGGGAAATGCTTCCCTGGCCCCTAAGGCTTGAAAAATGCGCTCACCAACACTGGGTGCCAGCAACAGCATAGGGAAATAGATAATCATCTGTTCAGTTTTATTGCTGTATTTCTTTCTAAAGACTGGCAAGCTAGGATATTTGCCAGAGTCCCCGTTCACTCCACCTTTTTCACCTGCCTAAAATAAACTGGATGAATGCTCTGCCTAGTAACTTTTTAAAGCCCCATTTCATTTTCTCATGTGGTAGATTGTCTCTTCTCCCCTTCATTTACAGAAAAAGCAATGAGAGATTCTGTGGCAACTCAAAGGGCAAGTAAATGCAAGGGTCAGCCAGTGTTAAGAGAATTGCAAGGATACATCCAGACCCCAATAGTTCAAGACAAGCATTTTACTGTTTCTGGATATACATTTGGTTTGGCAAATGAATGAAGAGATGCTCCTAAGCAAAAACAGGGAGTCCCCTACCACTGACTGGTTTTGCTGGGACTGTCCTGCGCAATATGCAGTAGAAGCATGGGAAACTCCTGAAAATCTAAAGCATCTCTAGCGCTATATAAAAATGGGCACCATTAGCACTGAGGATTTTTCAGCTGGAAGTTTCTCTTGCAGATAAGACTTAGACCTCGCACGAGTTGCACAGGATTGATGAGCATGCTAAGAGGAAACACCAAGGTCTTGCCATGCTGTGCAAAACAATGGCTGCTTTCCATTTCACTTCACTTGGGCAATGTAAGCAATATAAATGTATCTGAATCATTTGGTATAGAGCGGTAGGAAGGGGGAGAGTGGAATGATACGGCAAAGTAAACACCTCTACTCAAGAGTTGCAGTGAAGATGAAAAAGAGCAATATGAGCCCAGCACAGACCTAACAGAGTAAGCCATATCCATCTGGTCAAGATTCACCCGTTCCCTCAATATCAGATGCACAAGAACATCCTGACAATCATTCACCTAATCAAATCCAAAAGCTGCCTTATCCCCACACTCCCATGAAAAAAATACATCTTCAAACATGCATATGGTGCACTCCAGGGGGAAGAATTAATGCAGCTGGCTTGTGATTAAATCACACCATGCTATTTGGCAGTTTTGTTTTTACGATCCTATCAGAGACTTCTGTTCTCCAGGGCAAATCTGTCCAAGAAGGACAGAACACGTGGCAGCTCATCCATCACCGCTGCATACGGTGCCTAGGAATCAGCATTCCAAAACAGCCCCCAGAAATCATTAACACCCCCCCCAGTATCGCACAGGCTTTGAAAGGGATCTCTCTTCAGTGTCTATACACGCTCTGAAGTCACACTAATTCAAATTTCCGAGCCTTGTACTTCCTATCACAGATGGTGAATCCTGCAAGTAGACACACTCTGCCTGACTTGTGCACTCTATCCATTCTTTTCACCCCCAATCATGAAAGGTGCAGATTACGTAAAGCAAGGCATGTCAGTACAAGTTTAAGGACTTGGAGCTGCTTTTAGTGTCATAGGAAGAGGTTTGTTGCTTCCTTAAGAATGGAAACTGAAAGGCTATGAACAAGTGGATAGAAGATGAATGTAAACAGTCTAAAGAGGCCAGAACTCACACCTCGCTAAAGATGTGATATATCATACAGTGGTCTATACAAAAACTACTCACAGATGCGCCTGCGTATAGCAAGATGCTGCTTTCATGCAAGAAGCAATGTTTTACTGCACACTAGGTATGTACAGGAAGACAAGCCTTCTAAGAGGAGAGACAAAAAGGGAAACGCAAAAGACCTCAGTTAATCCTCATCTACTAGACTGTAGAAAAAGCCTCAAAGCTCATCGTTTCCAGCTATTTCAGTACTAGCTTAATCTCACGTAGATTCTTTCTCTGGAAACAAACTAGCACTTATAAGGTGATGAGTTCAATAGTCTAAAAGGTCTTTTTCCCCAACTTTTATCTACAGCAACCCTAATGTATAGTTTAAATTTTCAGCCAGCATGAGACTGGCTTAGTACATCTGTCTATTGCCAAATACTCAGCTGCAGCTGAAGCAGAAGAAATGGCTTCCTCAGGTCTCATTTTTCCTTTTGTGGTCATTTCTTGGCTTGATTCATCAGGCAGGAGATGAAAAGGAAAAGGCCTGAAGCCTGTTTACAAGCCGCATATAATAGAGACTGGCAACCCAAAGTTAACCTGACTAAATGACAGATAAAAGCACACACTTCAACCAACCAGCCTCTCCTTTCCATCCCTAAGTCCTACCACCCTTCTTCCCTTTTGGTCTGACATCAACACCCCAAAGTAAGGAACTGACTTCTGCCTCTGCTTGTATGTACTTTACTATTGCCTAGTTTCAGTTCAGCACCAATTCCTCAGGTCTCAGGGTCCTGCAATGATACAATAAGACGACTTGCACTGTGACATAAATACTGTATTAAAACAATATCATCAGATCTGTCCTGCATCCCCAACTGAGTGTAATACACATTGATGCAGATGTGATGTCATTCTTCTACACACCCGACACCCTGCTCATGGCCACAACCTGCCCTGCTGTGTTTTGAGATGGCCAGTGAGCCGGGAGGTCCATAGATCACCCACCCAAGAAAAGTCTTCCTCTAGGATATTGGAGAGACAGGGGATCCATGTTGGCTGAGCTCACAGCAGCATCAGCCCTGTGCCTGTCATGCCCAGGAGCAAGATGTTGGCTAGCATAAAGCCTATGAAAACAAAGTACATTATGTTTCTGTTCCCTGCTTGCTTTTCAGAACTGGAACTGCTTCAGATGCAAGTTATGGAAAATTAAAACATTTGGAAACAGAATGTCAAAAATCTTCAGGAGCCCAATTAAAAGGGTATAATTTGAGTAGATTGTCTTTAACAGACAGACAGAAAAATGTAAACTATTCCTGCCTGTATCCAGAGGAGACTTGGGTGGCTTGTAGGGACTGATCTCTACAACTGACTCCACTAGTTCTGTTTTGGGTCAACAGCCAGGAACTGGTAGGATCGAGAGCTTGAGGAATGATGTGGAAAACCCGCTGATCATGATCTACCTAATAGGAATGAGGGGGATGGGGGAACAAAGGAAGAAACGGAAAGGTCTCCTTCTAGCTTTGAATGGGCAGGTGTCAAAACACAAAAGTTATCATTGTAACAGGCATTAAGTGGTACCCCAGTAAGCAATTTAATTTAATAGAAGAATGGGTCACGGACTGATGCATGTATACTAAACCTCTCTCACTCCCGCAGGCTTCTTTTCCATGGCAAGGTTGAAGTGCAATGTGTAGGGGCATCATGTATGAAACCTTGTGCTTCCTATACTATGTATTCTGCAGATAGAGAAATGCAGGAACAATCAACATCCTTCAACAGTAATAAGTTTTGTTTTTAAAATTAAATCCTTTCTAGTTGCATTTATTTTGCCCAAAAACAGGAAGCTCAATTATCAGTGTTGCCAATAGAGATATATAAATGCAATTCCTCAGGCACTCAGCCACATTTAAAGATGGGCCTACTCTTTTTTTCCTGAATGAAAAAAATTAACTAGCATTCACACACTTTTTCTACTTTGCAGTGCTGATATGATGCATCCTGACAAGATTCTTTTGATGGTTACTGTGCCAGGACCTCCATGAAAGGTTCCAATTCCCTCTCTTATGAAATACAGATGCTCTGACAAGCAGAGAAGGGAGGACGGCTGCCCCCATTAGATACTAAACAGTGGTTTGCAAGTGTTGAAACCTGAACTAAACTGCTTCACAGTCAGATCACATCCCTCCTGTCAACCTCCAAATTTCAGGTATTTGCCTTAAGACAGCAGTTTCCAAATTGAGGTCTGCAAACCACCAGCAGTCCATAAAGAGCTAGCTGGCCAGGTGACAATGGGTCTTCCTTACATCCACCTATTAAACATCATTAAAAGGCACCTAATATACACATTAAATATTTTCTTAATGTTAGATTTCGTAGATAAGCAATTGCTCTAGTTACCAATGGGATGTTATCAGATTACCAAAGGGAGGGATGGTGGTCTACGTTTCTTCGTAAACAGAAAAGACAACCATGACATTCTGTTAAAATGCTGTCCATGCTATACAAAAGGTTGGGAACCCTTGTCCTAGGAAAACCTTGGTTTCACCTCTTAATCAAAAACATGTTTAGAAGCAGCTAACACTCCCAGAAGTCTGAAGAGCTCTATTCCTGTCCCTCTGTTGAATGGGATAGGTGGTTTTGGCTGAATGTGATACCTCACTCTCCAACAAAACAGTAAATCTGTATTCCTTTGGAGAATGTGCTGCATTAACTAAATGTATTTCAGTGACAGGATGTCAGAGAGTTATGCGAGACATTGGTGTCTGTAATTAGATATTGTACTGTATCGGTTCATGACATAATGTAAAACCAAGTTGTCAACACCTGCCATTTATAAACCTCCATCAAGAACTCTCATGTAAAGTAAATGACATCTATTTATGTCTGTAAATCTATACCTCTAGTTATAATCTGTAGTTCTATACATATATGCTTCCCTCTACTTAAACTCATCTCTCCCATTAATTTTATTCACTTTACAGTAGAAAACAAAATGTTCCTACTATCAGACAAACTGCTTAAGTTCACTAGAAGGTTAATCTTTCCTCTGAATAACCTCTCTGTTTTGAACGGTCTCTCAAACTGAGGGCTCTCAATTACATATATATGCACCAATGTAAGCTGACAAAACACCACATTTTCTCACAAATACTGTAACATGCTTCTGAATATAATATGAACCCTCTTTTTGAGAGGCAGCATGAATCCATAAAGGTCTTACCTTAGGTAAGAAACTAACTACAAGCAGCTAGGGGAAATAGGCAAGGGAGCTTAGTCTAAAACTGTCCTGACAGCATCTGGCTTTGCACCACATAGCTGGAAGAGGCAGCCTCTCCTGAAGTCAGCCTGCTCTCATCTCCTTCCCCCTCCCTTCCCCTCTCACCCCCCACACAAAGTAGAAAAGACCCAGCCTGCAGTCATATGGCAATCCAAGGCAAAGATACGCTGGCCCAGAAGTTCAGGGCTGCAGGCTGTTCCATTTGCTGCCTTCTCTTCAGCTGCAAGAGCACAGGACCTGTGGGGTGGGCAGGCAGCAGTAGTTGTGGCTTGGCTTCAGGAATCAGCCCTGCAAACCTTCCCCTTCTGGTGCAGGGATGGGCCAGATCCAACCAAGGACTGACCCCACACACTGGCCCTATCCAGTGCTTTGAGTCTGGGGCCACGTGCTGGGTCTGACCCAGTGGGTAGCCCTGGACCCAATGCAGCACACAGCCCCAGATCTGGTTTGCTGGGTCCAACCATGAGCACCAGGGTCCAAATGTAGATTAACATGCACTGGCCCAATCTTGCACATGGAGCAGTGTCATCTGGTCATCTGTGTCATCTGGTTCCCCATGGGTCCAGAAATTTGTCAGTGCCACGGTTCCTAGAGCTGTGGTAATTAACACTGCCACCATTCTCCTACTGCCAAGTTTCCAGACCCATGAGAAACCACATTTCTCAAATATAACATGCACCTTGATTTCCACCAACCGGTTTTGGGGGCGAAAAGGTGTGGGTTATATGCAAAAAAATATGGTAGTAGGAGACATAGCTCTGGCAAGAACTGAGATAAGCGTGCCAGTTATTTAAGTGGACTGGCTGCTGTTGGCTGTTCAGTTAAGTCATGTTTAGACTGGTGTCCCCTGCCCATATCCGTTCCCCTTTTGCACAGCATGGGAGTAAAGGTCATCTGCTTTGGAATGGACTGGTACCCCAAATGCTGGGAAGTAAAGCCAAGCAGGGAAGGTTTAAGCCTAAAAAAAGTAAGGAACCAATATAAATATGGCATAATATGAACAATTATTGTGCAACTTTCCCCAATCCAGAACCCTAGCTGAGCTTCTCAATCCTAACCTACAGAACCCACATTATTTTAGCCCTGCATTGCTCCTTGGCTGAGCACACCAATCATGCCAGAGATTTGGCAATGTAGACAAATGTCCAATACGGTGTGGACTTCAGCTCACAAAGTTATGTTACTTGAGAACAGTGCTGATACAGCATTTCAATTCAGACCTCCAGACCAGGGTTAATTAACTGATTTTGCCACTATTATCCTCTCCAAATCACACCATCTGGCTTAGTTTATAAGGAAAGAAACATGTCCCAGTGTACTAAAGGTGCCTCCCATTACATTATTTCACAAGGCTATTGCCAGTCTGATAGATAGCCCCAAATCTATCTAAAGTGACCCCTTATATATTCTTAATGTAGCATTGCTCCAATGATCCCAGCTTCTGCCAGGAAGGAGAACAGAAATTCCAATTTCTATCCCTCCTAGCCTTTTGCTATATCACTGTCTGATGCCAACTGGACATCAGCGCAAGCTCTGATCTTAAAAGCAGGGAGATGCCTCTTTCCATCTGGTGGAAGGAATTCCTGAAGTGCCCCCTGGCAGCACAGACTTCAGATCTCAACAGCAGGGGAATCTGCCGACCTGTGTGTTCTGGGATCTCGCTCTCACGCATAAGAAGGCAGCTGTTCTTGTTGATCACAGTAGTAAAAAGGAAGCATCAGGAGCTCTAAAACAACCTTACACCATATTTAGCTAGATCAATACTGTGGGCTAGAAGATACGGTGAAAACAGAAGAGTTCTAGTACATACCGGACAGATGCAACTAACTGGTACGTTAAACACATATAAGTTAACCGACACGTGATGGACAGGCATATGATTCAAGCTGTGCCAGTACTCAAAATGGGGTAATCTACATAATGTGTTGTACTCTAACAAAAGCCTTTGTCTATAAAAACTGCCAAGCCTCCTGCTTGCAACACAGTGAGTTTCTCTCGGTCCCCACCTCACTGCTTAGTACGCTGAGAAAAGATGTTTTTAAAAAGTTTAGAGCAAATACATCCCAAGTCTCCCCCCCAGAGAAGCAGAACAGCCTCACACAATGAGAGGGAAAAGGAGCATGAACGCAGAAAGATCCAAGGCCTAAAGCAGGAAACTCCCTCAGCTATCTTCCTCACTGAATTTCTGTGTTTATCACCTCTGGGATACTCTCAGGATAAATAATCCAGGCCAAAACAATCACCACAAATGTGGTTATATGTACCTTCACCCTTTCCTAGCTAGCCACAATTTGCATGCACTCAACTTTGCAGTGTCTCCCTGCACATCTTTAAGTATGTTAAGTGGCTAGAGCGGACATGTCCACCTGTTCCCAACAGGCAGTACAAGAGTTACATGCTATCCAACCTATTTATCATCTAATCTCTCCCAGTCACGCTCCCTCCACAGCCTCCTGGCAACACTTCTCCTTCTCCACAGTCTCCCAGCAACACTCCCTCCCACACAGATGGGCTTCTGTTCTCTCCTCATTGGCTACCAAGCACCAACACATCACCCTGCTAGCGCGCACATACTCAAGCCCCTATTCTCACTCTTTCGGCTCCTTTGGAGCTTGCACTAGCTGATGAAAGGCAGAGCTCTTTCTTGCAGCGCGATGGAGCTGGCTCCTAATATGGAAGAGGAGCAGGAGGCTTGGCAGCAGCTTGTGTCCAAGGTCAAGGCTCGCATCATTTCCATTAAAAAGAAACAGTCTTAGTGTCTGGACCTAGATGGGAACATAAACACGTGGAAAAAGCAGACATGCTACAGAGCATGCTGTGCCGCCATGCAGGGGATGTAGGCTTTATTTCAAACATCCACCTCCATCACTGGTATTTTGTGCTTAGTATTGTTCTGTATTGCCATGCTCTTGTGTTGCACTTGCTGAGCTGACGGGAGAAGGGACAACTCAGTGTCATAAGGATTATTATATTGTTCTGTGCTGCCTTGTGTTACCCTTAGGTTTCCCTTACAGCCTGGTCTCTAACTGACTTAATTTGCATTGGCCCTGTGGAATAGGAAAGACGCCAAAGTGCTCCATAAGCACTCCATGTGCTTTCCTGGGCTACACCGTTTACTTCTAAACAGCCACAAGATACTAAAGTTCATGTGAAGAACAGCAGTACATCAAACATCTCCCAAGGTCATGACCAAAGTTGCCAACTTCCCAGTGTAAAAGAAAGTGGTACCACATACTGTGAATCAATGCTTACTTGAGCTGGCACTATCAGCCCTTCCAATCACTGGCACTAAATTCACTCAGTGATTATAGGGAGGGAAAAAATATGTCTATGAGCCAAGCACCAAACTACAAGGAAAATTGAAAGCATTAGCAGATTAAATCCACCCCTGTGTACCAAAGGCTCTCACCATAAGACTCTTTATTAGGAAGTTAAGTCTTAACAAGTGGCTTAAGGGGTAGATAAAGCTTTCCCTGGGATAATCTGCCAGCATGTTGCCCAGTTCTGGGCTACAGGAAGACAAATGTGAAAAAGGAAGAAGGTGAAAGTCTTTTTTGAGTAAGTGGCTGCATAGCAGCTGAAGTCTCCTCCTGCCTATCCCCCGCACTGCACCATGCCATCTTCTAATAGGCACAAAAGTATTTCCCCACTCTACCACCTCCTTGAAATCAGGGGGATACTAGGATTACACATATATCTTCTCTATCCATTCTGTCTTGGTTCCTACTTTCAGCCTTTCAGGACTTGCATTCGATAAAGGTGCTTTTTATTTATTTGCCGAATTGCCAATTAACTCAAGAGTAGTCAACACTTTTGTGAAGGTGGGTCTGGACATCCCCAAATCTTATTCCAGGCCCCACATAAACCACAACTTTCAGAACTACCACCACTACCAAATCAGTTCTGCTCCTTGATACGACACAGGGGACAAAGTACTGCATGGGGAATCCAGAGCTGCTGGCTTTCACAATTCTCTATTTGCTGGACTTGAGAAACCCGGCTCTGATATGCTATGCACCTACGAGGCATTAGGGATGTGTCAGAGAGCTAGCAGACAACCTAATCTAGGATAGTTTTGTGTAAGCCTCTACACAAATAGCACCTCATCATTCTCCCGCTCTGCACCTTGGTCTGGCATACCGTAAGAGATCCATTTTGCGTGCTGGCCGTGTTCGTGCTCTGCTCTCCATGTGCCTGCGTACTTCCGTACAGTGTCAGATTGTGCTCGCTGGTCTGGCCTGCATAGTCCTGAGTGTGTGGCACCCCATACTCTGTGGGGATCCCATTCTGTGGGGGTGGTGGGAATGGGATTGTGGTGAACGGCTGCACCATTGCATCAGGAGTGGCTGTTGGCTCCTGGTTACCCTGGAGAAGGGGAAAGGAAAAAAAAAACGTATTTAATATGTTAACAAAAGGTAGACCAGGACCCCCATCCTAAAAGCAAGCAGGTGTCTGATTCAGCTCAGACTAGCATTCTGGTCACTTCACTACTAGACAGCGCTCTGTTATGCTCTACATAAAAAAGAACACACCCTATCCCTGTAAAGATTCAACTCATTTTTTTTTTTTATAACCTTTTTGCAACAGCTTTCCCACTACTGGGTAGGATGATGGGGCCAGATTAGGGATTTATAACCTACAGAACCCTCACATCACAGAAGATGCCCTAACTGTACCAAGGCTTGATTGACCTCTATTTCTTCCTCAGTTCCAAACTAAAGAACCTAACTCCATCCAACATTTCCTGGCTGCTCCATATATTTCATTGCCTCTGGCATTAGTCCTAACCAACCTCCAAAAGTCTGTTTGTTTGGCTGGCACATTTCACCTCTTCTGGACCATTAACTGTTGAGAAAATGGTCCAGTGAGAAGCCAGATCCTCCTCGTGGCTCTGTCTGCAAGAAATCTCATGTCAATTTAGGGGTATAGGTTGTAGCCATGTTGGTCTAAGGACATAGGCAGACAAGGTTCTTTGGGTAAATCAGATATATTTTATTAGACCAACTCAAATAATTGGAAAAATTCTTCTTTGCAAGCTTTCGGGTATAAACACCCTTCATCAGGCTGAGGAAGCATCTGCAGTTGGTGTGCCATTCATTTCTATTGCATGCCAATAAGAGAGCATAAAAATGGCCCTTTCCCTTCATTTTGGTGGTACTAAATGGAAGCAAAACAGATACCCAATTGATGGACTTTATGCATCTTGCCTGCTAGTCAGAAGACAGACAGAAGCTGTGGGAACTGGAATTTGAAAACATAGGCCTGTAGCACTCACTCTCTCCCAATCATGAGCATCGCTACCTTCAAACAAGGCGTTAATTATCCTCCTCCCTCTGCTCAGGGCATCCCACAGAGATCTCTGTGCTAGGACAATAGGCTTTTTAGCAGCTTTTAACACTGCCTCAGAGCATTTGATGCCAACTGGATGGCTATTAAAAAGATACTCCACCACACAAAAGATACCCCCAAAGAGAATTAAAATCCCTCACTGCCATGCCACAAGAGGGCCACAGCACTTTGGGAAACCATCATTATGGGCACTGCCAAACCCTCAGGAATGGGAAAGAGCAGAGGACGAGGAAAAATTCAGTCACCTATGGTAAAGAAAGAGCAGTCCATGACTCAAGGGATGGCATTAAAAGACTGAACTGCTGCAGTGCTTTATTTGTCATCCTAACAGAGAAATCCAAGAAATGGAGATACGACAAGGAGTCTCAACTTTGTCAGCGTACCATAACCCTGATTTTACATTTCAGCTGCGATTCCAGCCATGATGTAGTAAGACTCTGTTGTGACACTGCTATGTTTAACTCAATGGAAAAGGGGAAACAGTCCTTCAGATACTATCATTACATGAAGCAGAGGGAGATCAGTTGGGATTTACCAAGGGGTTACTACGGTAGATGTTACACCAAGAAATATATAGGCACTGAAGAGGGCTCTAGTGAAATGAGATGAGCCTTTCCAGCCATTTACCAAGGGCCTGCAGCTCTTGTTTCAGGGCAAGTGAAACAATGGTAAATTCAATGCAACTCCAGCCAACACCAGGTCATTCAGACACTGGCTGAATCCCAAAATCATTCTGACATTAGTATATCTGGCCCTGTCCCGTGAGGCCCACGTGACTGCATATCTGTAGCTGGAGAGGAAAGGCGAGGCAAGGGCATTCATTACCATTTGGCAGCACACAGCTGCAGCCTTGCACCCAATAGAAAAAGAGGGAGTTGCATTTACTCACAACCAATGCCCGCCAAGCCTCGCAGGAGTGCGGCTGCCTACAAGAACATCACTTTGAAGTCTTATCTAAGGAACAAAAATTAACAAGGAGTTTTCCAGCAACTGCCAGTCCCAGTGCAGCCATTCTGATGCCAAATACCTAATGCATACACGGATCAGGCATTTTTTATGGCTATGTCATAAAAACAGCTGCGTGGCTGCTGCAGTAAGACTACAATCTTTTCTACTGTAGAGTCACTGAGCATCTCTTCAATCCAACACAATGGTTTTCTCCAAAAGGGTGACTGCCTCATCATACATTAATTTCCACTCATGCCTTCCTCTTCCCAACAATGTCAAAGACACGGGAAGATTAAGACTAACTTAATCTAAAACATTGGTGACACGTAGGGGGTGCATGCGGGTGCATGTGCACCCCAAGATTGGCCATGCCAGCCGCAAAACCGGAAGTGCACTTCCAGTTTTGCCGCTGGCTCGGTGATCAGCCACTGGGGGGGACTCGCCCGTTGGCGATCTGGTGCTCCCCAGACTCGGGAGGCACCAGTCACCCATGATCTAAAATATCAGAAAAAGAAAGATAAGGTTTTTTACGGTTTTTGTCTAAATAAAGGCTACTCAATCTTTTAAATGGAAGGCACCAATCTAACCATGCATTTGTCTATAGGGTTTTTTTTAACCTACCATCGTAACAAGCTCACCTCTGCTTATTATTAGGCCACAGAGGAGGGGAAATGATGCTCTTAGTTTTCACTTTGTTCACATTCAACATTTGATTCTCTCCAGTTTCACCATTTTCCCCTGTACAGTTAGCTCCCCCTGCCTAGGTAGACTTCTCCATTTTTTAAATAGGAACAAAACGGGAAACTGTGATCTGTAAAACTACAGAAGTTGGCAAGCAGTCTCCAGGGAAGGTGTAGTAGCTGACAGTGCTTCCAATTTAATTTTAAAATGGACTAGACTTCAAGTTGATGATAATGCTAATATGGAGAGCTGAATGTTAATTTGAGATTAACAAAACCTACTAGGTCAGTTTGATGAGGCAGGATTCTTCCCTACTAAACGTAATTCATAGTACTGTTTAATTTTGTTTTAAAATGATTTAAGGGCACTAGCTCACAAGCCTAATATAATCTCATTTCAACAATTGTTTCCCTCTTAAATTTCATTTTATTCCTCCTAGCTGTTATGCTTTTCTACCTTCTCAAATAACTAATCTCCCTTATTTAGCCAGCTACAAACTATATCCTTTCAACCTCTTCATTGTTACTTAGACAATGCACGTATATATTTAGCTCTTAATCTTTCCCCCTGCATCAAATCCTTTGATAATGTTTTGATTAGTCCTGTTCAAAACTTCCTCAAATTTTTCAGCACATTTCTAGTACTGGATACAAATTTTCAGACACTTATCTCTGAGCCAGAGAAAGGGAACTTTTACCTCCTTGCTTTGTAGCATTACGTCTCTACTCATGCAGATCAAAATCACACAGCCCTGCTTGGCTGCCCCACTACCGCAAGCTCCTAGTCAATTTGATGTCTCCAATCTCCCTTAAAGCTTCC